CCCCCCCCCCCCCCCACTCTCCATCTTGTGGAATACATTTCATTTTTTTTCTCTGTGCAAATGAGATCTAACGGATAATTGCCTTTTGTTTTTGTTTTTTAATTGTATGTTCAATTAAAGATCTTGATGAAAGAATGTTGCCCTGTAGTGTTGCTCTGTGTCTGCATCACAGAAACCTTGTCTGCAGTATCGACATGACCTATATATCCTGCTAATTATATAATAAATGGTGTTCCATGGAAGGGCGGCTCTTTCTGGTAAAATGAGCCGGATCAATGTGTTGCAGACGTAAGCGGGTCTGTGTTTTTACCGTTTGAAACGGAAGCGGCCGAGCTCCGGTCTCCCGGCTAATCGATAGTCCACTACATTATTTTCACATCTCGACAGTGGAGCGGTCGCGCTCGAAGTCTTTTTTTGGCGTTGCATTATAGTCAACGAGCGGTGACTGTACTGGGGGCTCACGCATGCGCAGTCAGAGCCCCGGAGCCGCAGGAGATAATAGCTGGTAAGCCAAATTTCAGTTCCGAATTGATGTGAAACCACGAATTTATTTCACATTTATAATTTGTCCCTCTTATTGTGGCAGATCAGAACATCTTTTAACCACAAGCGGTTTAAAGGGACGGGTGTAAATGTGTTTTGAGGCAGAGCGTTTCGGCGTTTAGGATATAATCAACCACAAATGCTTTCCGTTTTAAAATGTATATCTGAGCTATCACGCGCCTCATTAACCTACCGACTTAAATACTTTGAAATAAGCAGTCGCGCGGGTGTTGCTGACATATCTAACACGCTTAACGCTGTGGTGAGGAGAGAATGCTGCTCATTCATTTGAGATGCAGCTGGAATGGGTGACAGGGTTCATTTTTCACTAAATGACATTTTCACAGGGTTTGAGACACTGCTTTTATTCATTTTTTTTCTGTCTCCTGGATGTGTTTGCCTCCGCCATTTTAACTGAAATGTATTTTTATTTAGTGTGCGTGTGTGGACTTGAGCTTGTGCGTAAATATTGGTGTGTCACCATTATTGCCTTTTTATTGGAGGCAGCCTAATGGATGTCTGATAGAAAGTCACACGGGGTCATGGCTTTTGATGGTGGAAGGCGCTGCCATCATTCTGTAAATGGCATCCTCAAAATACAATTATATACAATATAACAATACAATATAAGTATTGTTTAAGTTGGGGGAAATATATCTGATAAGTATTTTCTTGTAGATTTACATTTGATAAATCTTAATTCATGTTTCTCAGAGCCATTTTCGGAAAAAGGAGAAAGAAGTGCCTATTAGCAGAGGCTTCATAGTCATATCTAAAAACTCAGTCTTTACTTATCTGTAAGTGTCTGTTCTTATGAATGTGCATCGTATTAATACCCTTTTTAATGATAACTGGTACAAGAAAAATGAAATCGGATGAATCAAACAACGCAAAAAAAACACGACAGAGGATCCATAACTTTTTGTCAAGTCAGTATATACATATATATATACATTCATACAAAAGAGGGATTCACAGTCTGTCCACATACAACACCCTGAGATCACACCCATGATTCAAATTCATAAAAGGAAAATCTCCATAAAAAACGTTGAACTTTGAGTGCTGTAAACCTATTTATTCCATTGAGAGCACTGCTTTGTACTGCCCCTCATGCTCTTTACTCTCCAGTACTCCGGAGTAAAGGACTGGGACGCCGTTATGAGTACCAAAGTGAACGTGGAGGCTTTACCCAAAGAACCCGATCGCACCCCTTTGGACCCGTGCTCCTCGTCCCCTAGCGAAGCCGTCCTCATCTGTGGGAGTGACGGGGTGGCCAAGAAGGCTCGGCTCCAACCCCACACCACCACGGCTTTCCTCCTACCAGGTGAGCACGGGGTCTGCACTGTGGTCACATTCACGGAGACCTTCCTTTAACTCGTGGATACACGTTGAAGCTACTGTCTCATCAGGTGTATTGTGACGTGGGAGACATATAGAGAGCATCTAGACCCTTCTCACGTCGGGAGACGGTCCTCTTCCACCGAGCCTGTCTTGTTGCCCCGCCATAGTGGCCCAGACCATATAGAAACCAAACACTGACCCTAGAGAGGGCCTTCCATGTTCTACGTTGAAGACCACTGAAGGTTCTTCTACAGGCTTGGAAAGTGAGTGCAAGGGAGAATCTGCGACCTCACCGCTCGATGCCACCTAATCCTTCACACGGGTCCTTTAAAGAGGAACTCATCAACTAACTTTACACATCAGTGTCGGTCCACAGGTGTTTGGGGGGTGCTACTTGCCCTTGTGGAAAAAAGTTGTACAAAGCCTTTTGAGGCTCAAGCGGGAGCTGGGTTCTCAAGTGAGGTCACTTGGGTCAGCGTCGGTTGGGGAGGAAGACTAAAAGTTTGAAAATAAAAGAAAATGAAATCTGGGGATGTCTATAGAGAGAAGTAAGTGAGCTTACCACACCTCTCTGCTCTCTGCTCTCCTCATGCCTGATTGAGACTAGTGGCTAGATGCTACATTAGCCGCTACTAGCATAACACACGGGAATCTGACCAAACTGTTGGGGGGGAATGTAAGCACCAGGTTTAAGGAAGAGGACTGCCTGGAGTAAAAAGACGACATTTCATGTTTCCAGTATCTGCTGCATTGATTTGGATCCTTTTTTGAAAACTATATATTTGAGTCAGACGATGTCACTTGAGTGCAATGCTGAATCTGTGGAGGATGGGAGATAGACTATAGCATTTGTCTTCGGGGAGCAATTTGGGGTTCAGTATCTTGCCCATGGGACACTGCGGACTGGAAGAGCTGATCTTCTGATTAGTGGACGATCCACTCCTCCTCCTGAGCCACAGCCAACCACAGGACTGCTTTAAATGATTGTCTGTACGGTGGCGGGAGAAACATTGGTCTCCAGTAACACAGGTTAACATGTCAACATAGTACAACTCAGTTTTGTTGTACCATGAGGTAAGATATCCTTTTTAGACAAAACAGAAATCAAATAGTTACAATTCAATTAAAACATGATATGGCAAACAAATTGTGCGCTCTTTGGTAGGGATGGAACAATATAGGATTTTTTTTGCAGATCACGACAAAAAAAAATACACTCACAATAAATTGTAGTTAAGAAAATACAGGAATTATCATGTAAAGAAAAACAGAATGTTGCTTTTTGATCCTTTGTTTATTTACTTTATATGATACTAATAATACTGTTGATAATATCATGAATCACAAATATTTTGGGCAAGATAATCCTGACATAAAATGTTCCTATCGTCCCATGTCTACTCTTGGGTGAGCTCAGGCAGTAAGTTGAATGAATTTGGATGCATGTCTCTCCTCAGCTCCCGCTGCCAGTCATCAGAAGCTGGAGGTGACTCCAGCTGTTTCAGTGGGAGACTCGGGTAAAGGAGGCAGGGCCAATGAGACGGCCACACCCACGTTGACAGCACAGGTGGGCGGTGCTTGTAGCATCGTCCACGTCCTGGAGTGGAAGGAAGGGGTGGCCATCCTGCCCAGCAGCAACCTCAAGGTAAAATGAAACAGTGTCATTGCCTAATTGTTTATCCACCTGGACGACGATGTGAATTTGAAACGTACCAGTCTGGTTTAAATGTAGGCGAGGGCATTGTGTCTTGTCTATCTCAACTTGCATCTGTCATATAAAATCAAAAAAAGCCCAAAACAATGACAACAATTAGAGCGTTACTGTGGATTCTGATGATCCAGTCAGAGTTCACTTACTGGACGGTTGATGATTTTAGTCAGAAAACATTTAACTCACTTGTCTGAAAGCAATCAAGATGCTCTCCAGACACAGATTAACATACACACCTATTCTATTTTCAGTTGTTCAGAGAAGCATTTTGCCACATTGACAATGAAGAATAATGTCTCACCAAAATCCTGAATGATTAACAAATAGTCATATTTATTTTGCTGTAAATTTCAGAAAGCACTGGAACTCACTGCAGTGATTTAGCATAAAGGAGGCCGCAGTAACAAAGACAAACACGTGTTTTCTCACACTATAAAGAAACATGGAAACAAACCAGGCACCATTGCATCTTCAAAATTGTCTGATAAATTGTTTTGAGGAGGAAACAGGGTTGAATTGACAAAACGATATCTCCCATCAAGACACATTTTAACAGATGGATACATTGAGGCATGAGTGTGTGTGTTTGTTTTTGTGTGTTGCAGTTCTGTGTGAGTGATGTGGGAACGTTGAGCACCCTGATCACCCCAGGGACCACCAGCAGCATCACTGAACCAGCAGCCGGGACTTCTGGGAGATCCGCTGATGCAGAGAGCGCTCCAGCAGACAAGCCAGGTAGAGTCGTAAGGCTGTAACGTCATGATCTGAACACAAAATACTGCACCTTTTCAATGCCTCACACTAAATTACACTAATACTATTTCCTGGTGTTGCAGGTCACGCTAGTTAACGACTGTTACTTTCTATATATGGCTGCACTGCTATTCTAAGTATTTCACAGCATGCCCCTTTCAACGATCACTGGAGCAATAATTACATCAGCTGAAGCAGAGTACTCTTGACAAAGGGAAGAGAGAGCAGCTGCAGATTCATGTAAAAATGGCAAACAGGCATCACTCACGTGTTGAGAAAAAATTCAAAATCCAGCTGGAAAATGGTTAAAAGTAATCAATAAGTAGTGGAAATGATAATACACTTATTAGTGCAGTAACATCCTCCATGAATTCAGTAAAGGAAATACAAAGCATTTGAAGACACAAGAGAACAGCAGAGTATTTAAATGAGATTTGAAATGTTGACCTGCATCATCAGTCTTCACCTGAAGCCTCTTCATATCTTCTCTTGTCTCCCACATGTCAGAGGTGTCGGCTCCTGTCGGCTCTGTGAGAGGTGCAGTAGTGGAGCCGGAGAGGTTGCTGCCGGTCAAACCTGAAGTCCAGGTCGGACTGAGACAACAGAGCTATGATGCCAGAGCTCAGAGGACCTACAGAGAGGAGCTGCGCAGAGAGCCCATCACTGACAAGTATGTTGGTAACAGCTGCTTCCACATGCTAGAGGTGGGCGATAACGCAAAATTTGGTTATACAGGGCCAGAATCGCAGGTATCAATACTGATACTTTTTATAATTAAACGTGGTTTTCGTACTTTCATTTTGTGGTCCAACGTTAATTACGTAATCATATACATGTTAAAACACAGGACACTTTTAAAGGCAAATAACAAAATACGTGTTTTTATTATTGTAAATTGAATGTACAAACATGAAGAAAGTTTTTGATTGAAACACGACAAAAGCAGTGAAGATTACAACATAATGTGTTTTGGATTTTTTGATTGATGCGAGTATTTCTTTTGAAAAGCACCTTGAGTCAAATGAGGTACAACGAATCTGTAAAGTACAACAAAATCAATCCTGCAGTGGAGAGCACAAGGCCGGAAATACATACCCTGATAATAGCAAATAAAGAAAGAGAGTACAGTCTGGTGATGTGTTTAGACTTGAGGAACACTGCATCTGTCCTCTCGGCACCTCAGGAGGATTGTCGGGGTAGAGAAGGTGCCAGCAGGCGGGAGGGTCTCCTCCCTTAACCCAGATCACCTGAAACCCATGAGGAAGAGGAAGAGGAAGGAATACCTGAGTCCCTCTGAGGAAGACTCTGACATCGAAGGCACGGTGGGACGGCATTGTTATTTACATTTAACATCCAGATACAAATATAGATGTTCTCCTATCTGATGAATTCAGAGAGATACACTACTGAAAGTATTTTAAGCAACGTGTTTGTTTGCTCTAATTCAGTGAAGATACTTTCTTTCTGCTCTTAACTCTTGCATCATTTTTATTACATTTATTTTAGGATGAGAAAATTGATGATTCTAAAGCAGACGGCAGACACATCAGAGGAGGTTGGATTAATCTTTTATTTTTACATTTATCTGTTATATCATCTTTCATCCTATTTTGCGCTTCTTTGCTTATTTGCCGGCTGTATAGTACATCTGTTTTTCCTCCCTTCCTCTTTTCCCCCCCTTACATACAGTTGCAGTGTCAAGTCAAGTCATAATAACATATCCCGGACTATATAATGTAATTCCATACAACATTGAACATTGAATTGTGTTTTATTGTAGTGTCATGTCATTATTTCGTCCAGCCCCTGTATGTTCTCAATACCTGTTATTATCCTTCACTAACCTTTGAGTACTTTTCTTTCTTTTCTTTAAATATTTATCCCTTAAAGAGGAATGGAAGTGCTTAGAGATTAACATTTTCACTCAGAATTTGTGCGTAAGATTACGCATAAGATCCTTGCATACATGAATCAACTAATTATTTCATTTGTATATTTGGTGAAGCTGGAGACAGTAAGACAGAGCAGTGGACGTGGGCTCAGTATCTGGAGGAAACCAAATCTGTTGCTGCGCCCAACAAGCTTTTCCAAGAGGTACGTGTGAGTTTAATATTCAGACTGCAGTTTCAGGCTCAGCTACAGCCTTGTACACACAGGTTCACCCAGTGCACCCATGATTTTTTACTACTTTCATTACCACCACTGCAGCTCTTCCTATAGCACAGGGACAAATATATCGCCCCGGAGTGAAAAAATAATGCGCCATTGTCAAGGAAGGACATAAGAAATGTAAATTTACCTGGGAGAAAGAGGATGTATGCAGCCAAAGGGCATTTATTAATATTCGTATTCTGTTACACAGTGTGGGGTTGTTTTCATTTAAAAGTGATCTAGTTTTTGAACAGTCTAAACATTTTTTGCAACACAAGCTTTGTCTTTGACTTTCTGTTCCAACATTGGAAGTAGTATGAGAATGATAAACTTTCCATTTGCTGTGTTTGCTGTCCTGATCCTATTTCCCTCCATTCTTTGTTTTCACCTCGTTTAGTTTGAATCTCTGTGATCTGTAACTGAAATATTTGCCTTTGTGTCCCACGTGTCCAGACCCAGAGAGTGCCAACAGTGAAGAGCGGCTTTAAGCAGGGGATGAAGCTGGAAGGCATCGACCCGCAGCATCCGTCCATGTACTTTGTTCTCACCGTGGCCGAGGTGAGCCAGACGTCCATTAACACGGTCGAAGGATCTTAATGGCCGGGCTGATTAGTTAAGATTCAAATCATCATTCACTTACAGGCTGCTTTGCATGCAGGAGGAGTTCACCCCGGTGTCGCCCTTCTCCAGCCGGCTTTTGTTTATCTAACGTATCATGTCATCATCCAGGTCTGTGGTTACCGGCTGCGGCTTCATTTTGACGGCTACTCTGACTGCCACGACTTCTGGGTGAATGCCAACTCCCCCGACATCCACCCAGCAGGCTGGTGTGAGAGCACGGCACACAAACTGCACACTCCCAAAGGTGAGAGGTCAGGACCCTCTGGACATACTGAGAGACCAAAGGGCAAATAGAGTCTAAAGAGAACGAAGTATCATGAACACACATAAACCCGGTCTGTCACTTGTGCTTGATCTTACCTTTCACAGGATAAATCTTCAGGAATAGTTTAACATTTTAGGAAATACACTCATTCTCATGTTTCTGCCTGTTTCCTTTATGCTAAGCTCCCTGCAATATAGCGAAGTAGCATATTTCCCAAAACGCCAAACTATTCCTTTAAATGATGGGATGTTTTACCACATATGAATCATTTTAATCTTCTCTCTGTATCTCTGTTTTTCCTGCAGGCTGTAAAGAGGAGGAGTTTACCTGGACCAACTACCTGAGAATGACTAAAGCACAAGTGGCGTCCAAAGAACTCTTTGCCAGTCCTGGGAGGGTAACTGCCACTATATAATATACGGTAGTTGTATTATCTACAAGCACGAATGGATGAGGTGAATGATTTGGGGTTGGGGAAACTCCAACTCCAACGAGCAGCAGTTGTAATAAAACTCTCTTTTAAACAATTTGCAGCTTCTATCTGTTTCAGAAAACATTTTCACTTCAACAAGACCAAAAGTGGCGAAGTCGGGCCTGTTGTCCTGTCTGATATTTGTTTTAGTATTCATATTTAACGCCAGGACATCAAAAAAGCTTTATGCTTGTTTGCTTCTGCAAGGCAAGCTAATGTTTAAGCTTCATCATATCAAACTTTTTCAGTTTTTTTAATGATTGGTGAATTCATAAACAGATTTAGAAACGGTCACACAGCACAATTGTCACACTATTTGTCAGCTAGCCCACAGCTCTGTCTGTCTCTACTTCCTTATGTGCACATGCCGAGTCATTTCTAATACTTCTGCTTTCTGTTTAGATCGATGTGAAGTGCAGTTTTGAGATAGGAATGAAGCTGGAGGCCGTCGACCGTATGAACCCCTCGCTCATCTGTGTAGCAACCGTCACTGACGTGGTGGACGAACGCTTCCTGGTTCATTTTGACAACTGGGATGATACGTACGACTATTGGTGAGTCTCAAAAAACATTGGGGATGTATGGGCTTTGGAAAATGACTGAAGAAAAAGATCTAGAAGAACTATTTCACTGCGCAGCTGTGGAGAAACTTAGGCCTGTTGTATTCTATGAAATTGCTAGAGAAGCAATGCAGATTGAACTGTCCAATCTTTCAGTCTGTTTAACTTCATGTTCACAGATTTGGTTCATTTGTAAAAAGACAGTGTGAACCGGGAGAGGAACAGAACTTAAAGACAACAATGTGGTCCCGACCAAATGAACCAAACTACAGGTGTAGTAAGGCTACATTAATCTAAACATGGCCACTAAGGGGAAGAACAACTCAAAAAGAAATGGACCCCCATGACATATATCACCATATAGAGTTGCTATGGCTAAAATACTGTAGAAACAGTAACATTCATTGTGGAGTGTAGGAGTGTAGGTCCTGCTTTTGCTCACCTGATGAATGATCAATATTAATAAACTCTGCTTTCAGCTCTTATTTGGTCTCAACCAACTCCGACAAAAAATATGGGACTCTTTAGCCGTTAGATGCTCTTCTTTCTACATTCACGAGCTGCTAACTGTGTCAGTGTTAAACTGCTTCTTTTGTTAAACAGCATTCAGGATTTTAATCACTATGTTGAAAACAGCTGCTGCTCTGGGTTAGTAACGTTGCTGCGACTGAACCAGTTTAGGCGTCATAAACCCCAAACAATGAACTAAAAGAGGTTAACAAGCACAGCAGCGCTGTACATTTAAGTGATAATTCTCTCTGGGGGTTGTCATCATGAGTGAGGTCTTTCACATCACATGTAGTTATTTGATTCAGTGTTAGTATAAAGCATCAAATAAACATCAGTCAAATCTGCAGTAAAAGCTGTTCCAGTAACAAGGTGAGCAGCTTGAAAACACGAAAAAGCTTTTTCTTACAATGAAACTATTGAACTGTTGGACGTTGTTGTTTGTCAAACTATGCAGGTGTGATTCCAGCAGTCCGTACATTCACCCTATTGGTTGGTGCCAGGAGAGGAACCTCCCCCTAACACCACCCCAAGGTGAAAAGTGTGTTCAATGTTAATCATTGATTTAATCATGTTCATAGTCATAACATGGCTCATTCACTTTAAAAACATCTCTGCCCACTTAGTCATCTTGTCTTGACTTTAACATAATCCTGAAGGAAATAAGTTGAATATGCAGCGGTGGAGTTTTTATGTTTATATTCACTGACTGATTTTTTGTTGGATGTATGTTCTGCTGCACCAGATTACCCAGATCAGGCCCGGTTCTCCTGGTCTCACTACTTGGAGGAGACTGGTTCCAAGGTGGTGGCCGCTGACGCCTTTAAAGTGGTGAGAACAAAGAATAAATGTCAAAAAAATAAATATATATAAACAACATGGGGAAATAAGGGGGCAACTGGCAATACACAAAATCAACCTGTCAGCCAAACTTTAAGCATCGCCTGCATCCACAAGATCACACTCCAAGATGTACCCACACTGTTAAATCATCTCCACACATATTTCCCCGCTTATACACACACTTAATGTACCTACATGCATACACGTGCATACACATCCCCCGGAACAGTCCACAGTTATCTTCCTCCAGTCAAACTTCCAACACTCTGGTCCAATTTGATGGATTGTATTGTTTCACAGTGAGAGATGAGACACTGCCACTGATTGTAAAAAAAAATTCAGCTGATTCACAGACAGCAAATGTTATCTTTTCCAATTTCAGAAATTACATTAAGTCCAGCAACCAGGAGGTGTTTGCGGGGGGGGGGGGATTTTTCCATTAAAGGAGAATTTGACGAGGGGCAATCAAAGAGGCAGAAGAGATTACATTACTTTGCTCATCAGTCAGTCTAACAGCCTCCCATCAGATATCAGAGGTAGCAATTGGAGACGATGGGTCCAGAGTTCCAATGTCTCCGATATAAAATCAAGAAAAGATCTCCAGTACTCCACCAAGCTCGGGCATTAACATGTGAGTCAAGTCGGCTGGTGCCTGAGAGCATCTGTCACAAATACCAGAGAGGTTTGGGTAGATCTTCCATAAACTAGCTCCTATGAAGTACTTTGAAGTGAATCAGCTTAAGACTCGCACTGGAGGAGGATGAATTCAATGCAACCAGAGCATCGTCCCGCTATTCATCTGACAAAGGGATGCCCAATTCAGTTTCCCAACCTGTCTTGATCATATGCAGAGCAGCAGGAAGCAATGTTCTATTTCTAATCCAATTCACAGTATGGTATGAAATGATTACTGTTGTGTGGATCTGTCATATGAGCTGACAGAACACAGAGCAGTGACATTGGAGGCAAAATAATGAGAGGCAAGGTTTGTTACAGTCCCGGTCAAATCAATTACTTACAGTATATCACGAATGTCATTACAGCTGACGGATCTTTAAAGAGCGCTGCACTAAGTACATTAGGCACAGTTCAGGTGTTTATATAACAGATGATAATGCATATGTACTGATTGCAAAAAAAAACACCTTGAGATGCGGACCATGAACCGCAATGTCTCGGGTTCGAGTCCGGTCAACTTTGTTACGTGTCGTTTCCCTCCCCTCATTTCCTGTCATCGTTCTACTGTAAAATCTCTAATAAAAGGCATAAAATGCCCCAAGTTAAATAGTAGAACGGATGTTTGCTGCAAGTAAAGCCAATGCTTTTATGGGAAGTACATTCAACATGTTTGGTTGTTGAGCTGAACATACAAGTTACTGTGTTGTTCAATCATCCTCTGCTCCTTCTCCAGCGTGCGGCCCACAGCTTCCAGCCTCAGATGAAACTGGAGGCGGTGGACAAGAGAAGTCCTGGTCTGATCAGAGTGGCTACAGTGGAGGAAGTCGAGACTCATCGCATTAAGGTAATGCTCTGTTTGTGTGTTGTGAGCTTGTATTACATGAACATTTGAGAACTAAATGTCTCAGGTTAAGAAGGTCATGATCATGTGTGTGTGTGTATGTACAGTATTATATATTTCTATTCCTTCTTGAGGTCCATTATGACGGCTGGAGTCATGTCTACGATGAGTGGATGGACTCGGATCACCCCGACATCCACCCAGCAGGCTGGTGTGAGGCGACCAGTCACCCACTCAAAGTTCCCCCACGGGACGCCAAAACACATCAGCCACATGGTAGCAACCAGCACTTCAGTCAAAACTGGAAGTAGATTTTCTTCAAAGTTCAAATCAAAGTTATTATTGATACCTAGCATTTCATCTTAGCAACAGTAATTGTTTTGAGCTCTGACTAAGCTTGTTTTAGTCCCTGTAAGGCCCCAGAGTGCCATGTAAAGGAAAAGTACACTGGCAAATGGAAAATGTGAAAGGGAAATTGAAATGCTAATTGAAATGTTTTTTTATGACAAAAAATGCTACAGTTTCAGAGTCCTGATATTGTGCATGCTTGAATACAACAGTGCCATCTTTAATGTTACTTGCAACACCTGTGGTTTTCCTACGACGAGAAGTCAAAATGTCTGCTGTTAATAAAGGCCTCTTGGTATTTACACCACTTGTTAGCTATAGGCATAATCTCCCAATAATATGTATGAGGGTGCATGTCTGTATTTGAATGGATGTAGGTGTGAGGGAGCCTCCTGCCACAGGCCAGTCCACCTACCCCTCCTCGGTTCCCTGTAAACCCATCAGCCACCCCAGATCCAACAAGTACAGCTTCCACAACAGGTCAGCTGAACTCAACTCTATCATCATTTCATGGAGGCTTTATACACCAGGTCAACCATTCAAGATACACATCAATACCTGACATGAAAACAGTTTAAAGTCATGCGCCTTCTTAATAAACTGCACTACGGGGCTGTGTCTTTGAAACAGGAAGTGTCCAACTCCTGGTTGTGATGGTTCAGGCCATGTGACCGGCCGCTTCACTGCCCATCACTGCATATCCGGCTGCCCACTGGCTGAGCGTAACCAAGGCAGGCTGAAGGCCGAGCTGTCAGACTCGGAGTGCAAGAGGACTCTCTTCTTCGGCCAGAGGACCAAGAAGACACATTTCCGTGGCAGGTGTGTGTGTGTTGGCCTACATGTGCATGCATGTTTGCCTTTGTCTCACAATGATCTTTTCCACTGTTTTCAGGATTGGTCGTCCTCCCAAATACAGGAAGAACCAGCAGAGAGACTACCAGAGTGAGTTTTCTAAATGCATGATACATATCTTTCTCTGATGAGAGCATTTAACTCTGCAGCTTTAAGGGTGTCTGCCTGTCACACCTGCTTTAAGGAGCTTATGGATTTCAGTGGAAATCTTTCATGTCAGTAGCAGGTGTGAATGTTGCAGGAGGCTCACATCTGTCCTCGTGTGCAACATAGTCTGCTCTGCAGTCATTTGTGACATGAAAATGGTTACATTGGAAAACCGGATAACAAACTTTTGGTTCTAAGCCTTTTCCACAGCAGACATTTTGACTTGTGTTAGCAAGGAATGCACAATTATAATTAATACTGTTAAAAACAAAGAGGGATTTGTTGCCGTAAATTAAATATAATATTCACAACTATTTTTTGAATTAGAGTATAATCACCTGATACTTCGTTACCTTAGAATGAGGCGTTTGTATCCACAAACGAAGCAGGTTCTCTTCACAATCTCCGGCATGTTTCACCGCCATGTTTCTACAGTAGCCCAGAACGGACAAACCAAACACAGACTCTAGAGAGAGCCTTTCCCATCTTTAAGTTACCTCAAGGCCACTGTAGTTCTCCTACACGCCTGGAATGGGAGGGGTGAGCAGAAGGATATCAAGTTGGATGAACCTCACAACTAGATGCCACTCAATCATATACACTGCTCCTTTAATGATGGTACCATTTAATGATGGCACCATATAAGACGTGTCCAAATGTCTGCTGTGAAAGCGACGCGTTGGCAGTTTTAATCTGAAATGTTTGTCCGTGTGATCATAAATTCACATATCTTTGTGTGTTCGTCCTCAGACATGTCCTCAGAGGGCGTGTATCCGTCACTGTTCATGTCAGCTCTGAGCAGCCAGTCAGACAGGACTCTGTCTCTGTGCTGGGAGCAGCACTGTAAGCTACTGCCCGGCGTTCAGGGCATTCACGCCAGCCAGGTGGCAGCATGGAGCGTTGAAGAGGTAAGCAAACCTTATAGCTTACCTTCATATTAATTTATTCTCTCTCTCGGTCTAGTTTGATTATTTGAAATCGGTTGTATTCGTACTTTAGGTCTTCATGTTTGTCCAGAATCTAATCGGCTGTGAAGAACAGGCTCGTCTCTTCAAAGAAGAGGTGAGACCACCAAGTGTATGTGAATGAAATATGAGGTTAATGCACATTTGCTGTACACGTTTTCAAATGTGACCAATGTAAACCAGTATTTATTGTCATGTTACACTGCACAAGTGAAAACTATGAAAACAACAGTCTGTTAAAGGGATAGTTCATATTTTTTGTAGTGGGGTTGTACGCGGTAAATAGGTTTAAGTGGACGTTGTATTTAAAATATTTTCACCGCTTTCAGACAAAAATCATCTTTAGAAAACTATACAAAGTATAGTATCAGAAATGACCATTTAGTCAAGTGAACACCTCAGATCATCTATTTTATTATAAAGGTGTTTCTGTTTTAATTTGATGTACTATGAGTATTTAATTTGATGTACTATGAGTACCCATGGCAGACAAAACAAATGATTTCTTGACCTGTCATGTCCAGTTGCATCACCACTGTTGTGTCTGCGTCTCCCCCAGATGATTGACGGGGAGGCCTTCCTGCTGCTGACCCAGACCGACATTGTGAAGATCATGAGCATCAAGCTAGGCCCCGCCCTCAAGATCTCCAACGCCATTCTCATGTTCAAGAGCACAGACGAGGTACTCAAGTGATCCCGCCCTCACCTGACCTGTGGCGTCGGGCCGTCGATCATCATGTGCCAAACTCATTCTGTTGCAGGGAAAAGACCCTGACCTCTTTTTTTTCATGTGTTTGGTGTCCTGTACCCATCAGAGAGGGGGGGGGGGGGGGGGGGGGGGGATAAGGAAATACAGATACTTTTTGGGAGTAATGTCTGAAAGACATTGGACAAATTGGTGTGGAGGTGGATAGAAGGAGGGTGATGAATGTGAGGTGGAACATCAGGAGTTTTTACAGTTTAGTGGTTTTACCGCCCAAACCTCAGTGTTTCACATCTGTTTCAATCTGCCAGTCTATGGTTTGCCTAGTAATTTCCAACCGTCTGTTTTTAATGCTGAGTTTTAATTTGTGCATTAGAAGCCTGAGTGGGAATAGTACAATTCAAAACAAGAATCACATTTAGTAAAAAAGTTCCTACACTTAGCTGAGGTTTGGGGGGGAAATGTGGCCAAAAAGAGGAGTTAAATGCAGTAGACGAGGCTGGTGAGTGAGGCTCCTACAAGCCTCACGTTTTGTGCAATAAAAAAAAGTTGAGACAGAAGTACTATATTTGGTAACCCTTAATGTTACAGCTCCTTTATGTTATCAGACTGTTCTGTAATACAGTAAGATGAAAATTAAATAAATTTGCTGTGTTGTTCAGACTGTTGGGAAAAGGTTTCTATTTGTTGCAGATGAGCAAGTTGAAACAGTGAGAAAGCCTTTGCTCAGTTTCACGCTCGTCCTGAAGTATTAAGTCATTTGTTTTTAAATTCTCCACAATGTGCTTTCTTACTGCAATATTAATGTGAGGACTCGGGTGATGCAGGAGCTGTAATTTAAAATGTTTCCCTCTTATATGGAATCTGAGTCAGAGAACTGAAACAACACGGTGTTTTTATATCTTTATGCAAAGATCTGAAATATTTTTTTTGCAATTCTTGATGAAAAGGACACTTTTAGCACAACTGTGAAACCCAAAGGGATTTTACACAATGATGTTGCCACACTTGGTCACTAGAGAGTGCAAAAATTCACGTTTGGCTCTATAAACTTGGATTTGGTAGCAAGTCAATGGAGCTCTCTGCAGTTTACATGTGATGGAAACAACATTCAAAGTGTGTTCTGCAAAATGTTTACATTATATGTCAGAATTGGTTAAAAAAACACTGTACGGATTTGATATTGTGAGATGAAAGTTGTTTTACAGGAGTATTTTAAGGGCTCTTGGAATCTTACTTCTTTGTGTGTCTCTCTGGTGGGATTTGTGTGTGTGTGTGCGCGCGTGTGTGAGCGTGAGTGTGAGCGTGCGTGGGTGTGTGCGTGTCAAGATAATCTTGGGTCACAAATGTCATTCAATCCATATGAATTAATAAACATCCAAAGCTGTCTTGTCTGATTAAAGCCGCTGCCTCTTTTCTTTTTTGAAGGGATCACACACACTGCATTCTTGTGCTTGTGCAGCTGTGTTGTGTGTGTGTTGTGTGTGTGTGTGTGTGTGTGTGTGTGTGTGTGTGTGTGTGTGTGTGTGTGTGTGTGTGTGTGTGTGTGTGTGTGTGTGTGTGTGTGTGTGTGTGTGTGTGTATATATGTGTGTGTGTGTGTGTGTGTATGTGTGTGTGT